AGAGAATGAAAAAAAGAGGAAAGATTCACATGAGGAATCATTATGAAGAGCAATGAGTTTTACTTCTGTTGAAGCCTAATTAATCATGGATGGTCTCACGATAATCATTTGATGATCAGGAAAGCATCATTACAATGAGTAAAAATGGTGAAAATGGAATCATGATGATGATGATGAAAAAATAGGAGAAAAGGATAAGTCTATGAAAGTATAGACAAGGAGCATTGACTGTGCATTACAAGCATGTACTACGTACAGACAATGAGTTACGACGGATGAAGATCAACTAATGAGACTGATGATGAGAATGGTGAAGAGGAGGTGAAACTTGAAAAAATGGAGAAATTTTGTGTTGGAAGGGAAAAGACTGATGAAGGATTCTTATTGAATAATGGAACAAATGATGGCAGTCACCGGGAATCAGTTAAATCACAGGAATAAGTTTACCTTTAATTTCAATGTGAACAGCTCGCTGGCATGACATTGGATAATGAGCAAAGGGAATAATGTTTTCTTGTCTATTACTTGTTAACTGTTTACCTCTCAATAACCCATTCATAATTTATTCATTACCATTCATTTTGCTTGGTGCGATTCAAAGAAAATGATATTCAAGAGAAATTTTTGTCTCAGTTAACAGTTCTTTTCCTTTTTTTCTGGTTTTCTTTTCACTTTATTTTAATCTCAGTTCAAATTATTCAAGAAACAAGGATTATCAACTCATTAAAAAAGCATGATTATGCAAAATTTGAGCAAATTTTAAAGAAATAATTGACTCTGAAAAATGCAAAGATGAATGAAATAATATATTAGATGAGATTTTCACAAATCTAGCCAATGTTTTGTATCGCATGAAAATGATGAAACTCTTTGTTGGTTGTGTTTTTGGTTAATGAACATTATTTCAACTTGCAACACTTTTAACCACTTTTACATCTTTATTAACTGTCGTTTACATGATTGATTACAAGCTTTTATACGATTCATTTTGTTCACCTTGTTAACTTGCTGACGAAATGGTTTGAAGGGAGAAGCAAAAAAGTTGATGATATTCAACTTTATCGTACATTAGCTAACCTCTTGGCTGAACCTTTTCCCTAACCACTTTACCAATGCAACTCCTTTCCTCTAGATAATTATTGTTGAAATGCTGTAAACCATGGAAGTACAATTTACAAAAGATGAGGACCAGAAACGCCATCGATTCAGAGTTTTTTCAAACTAATTTTTTAAGATGTGAAATACCATGAAAAACAAGATGGTGTAAACTATTTTTTATATTCAAAGTCGTTATCGTAATAAAACGTGATATTCATCAATGAGTTGTTCAACACTTAAAACTGGCGAAAAATTAAAATTGATTTTCAATGTTGATATCAAAACTTGCATCCATAAAATAAAGAATCTTTGAATAAAGCTTCTTATTAGATTATCGAAGAGAAAAATTAAGTTTCAATTGTTGATTAACAGGGAATGAAATTGATTAATATCTAACCTCTGCCTTCACCTGTCTCTTCATTTTGTTTACTTTCAACACTTTTTTTATAACACTGTTTACTTTACTTGACACTGCCATTATCTTGTATCTTTCAGCTTTTATTGAATATCTTTTTTTTCACTTATTTTGTTTCGCTCTTCATCGCTGTCCTTGTTACAACTTCATGGTGAGTTTATCATTTTCTGAGTTGAGAAGAAGAAAAAGTTTCCAAAGCCATTATACCTGACCTCATTTAAGCCAATCAAGTGAGAAAATGAATTTGATTTGCAATGAAATTTTTTGGCTTTTCTCTTCTTCTCTTCTCATGGATATTGTGTTTTGAAGCTGCCCTGGGCTAAGAAAAGGCAAACCAAAAAATGGATGTAAAAAGATTTGAGAAAAGCTGACACAATGGATCAGATGATGATGTGGATGATGATAAAGATAATAATGATGCATAAATGGTGAAAATTTGCTATCAACTCGACTAAATGATTTGTGTTCTGTACTTTGCTTTATCCTTTCTTTTTTTTCTCAACTTTTCCAACTTTTCTTCTTCTTTTTCTTTCATCATCATCATCATTTCTTTAACTCATCTTTTTGCAACTTTCTTTCACTTCTCAACAATCAACATGATTCAGAATAAGCTTCATTTACGATTAAATTGAGTGAATCTCATTGAACAATTCCTTATCCTTCACCTTTGTTTACTTTTTACTCTCGCCATCTTAACTCATCGATTGTTTAGCTTTTCAAATTTTCATGTGAATAACCATGTTAATCAAGAAAAGAAAAGAGTTTCATGGAGAAGAAAAAAAATAGAAAGGAAAAGCTATCCAATTAAATGCTCAATTTAAATCTCGTCTAAATGCTCGAGATATTTTAATTGTTAACATTGAACCAAATTGAAATTTACTTTGCACGAATTTTCACACCAAAAAGTTACACTGAAAAGTCGCTTAATTATCCAATTATTCAGACGAGATGAAAAAACCTTTTATTCACTTTCCATTCAACTTTAGCGAAAAGCCAAAATGTTTCAATTTTTCACAGTTATTCATCTTTCATGAACAACTCGATTCTAATGATTATTACGTTTCTTACGAAACAAAATGATAACTTTAAATGATTTATTAATGGATTGATAACATGATGAGATAACTGGAAAATGATAAAGAAAATGAAGCTTTTTCTTTCATACTGACCTAATGAAAATGAATGATGTGAAATTCAATTAGATTGATGTTGATTAAAGATAGCTCTTGATAGTTGATTAACTGCAACTTGTCAATGTTGAGATTGAAAAAGGTTTTACCAGTGAAAAAGGAAGCGAGCAAAAGGTTGGTTTTATGTACATTTGAAAAGGGTTCAACCAACGATTGCGAACATTTTGTTTTTTTTCTTGAAATGAAAAAGTAAACGAAACAATGAAATTGAGCTAAAAAGGTAACTAAAGTTTTCTGTTATCACTCGAGTATTAAAGGTCTCAATTTTGGTAAATAGCCATAGGAATAGCAAAGAAAGAGAAACGAGAAAATCCATCAACTATGGTGAGATTAATTGATGTAAGCCACGCATCAAGAGATGCAGCTACAAAAATGATCACAATTTTAGTTCATTTTTTGTTTTCCCATCATTCCAATTTGTATCATTTATCCTTTACTTATTAATAGTTCCTTTCATGATAACTTTAGTTTTGATATCTTTTTCTTCTCTCCTTTCCTTTTTTTACCAATTTCATCTTCACTCCCAGCAAATCAGAATCCATTTTTTGTACTTTGCTTTTTCTTGCAACAAAAAAGTCGCTCAACAATGGATCATGAAAGTTGTGCATAAAAATGCTTCATTTACAGCATTTGCTTTTGTCTACAATTTAATGTCTTAAACAAAATGTCTGCAGATAATTTGACACTTTTGTTTCTGACAAGCAAAGTTGAGCCAAAAGCGGTTTCATGAGCATTTCCAGTTTTTGATGAATTTTTCATTGAAAATGTTGAATCACCTTTTCTAATGAAAATTAAGCTTGTAATTTCATCTTTAATCGTCCATTGGAATGAAAAGTATCGATAATTGGTCGACTCTTATTGTTTCAAAATCAATGAATTTGTTTGCTGGCTGAGTTGGAGATTAACTGAGATTCAATGGAAATGCTAGAGATGCAATTGTAATGAAAAAAAGGGAACAAAAATGACAATAAAGTAAATTGCTTTTCTAACCAGGAATTGATAAATGTTTTCACAGCTCGAAAACAGGAGGAAAAGAGGAGAAACTTCATGAGATAATAATTTGAGAGATTTACCCTTCTAAACCATTTAAAAGCTTATTACAACAAATAACACAATTTGTACCATTTTTCTGTTAAACCGTTAACTCTTATCCAGTCAATTATTATGATTAACACTCGCTGTTATTTCCTACTCAACTTGTAAAGATTAAAGTATTATTTAGATTTTCATTTTTTATCTTTTTCCTCATTCAATTTTGTCTCTTCTCCATGTAAACATAAACAGCTACAAACACTTACAAACTATTACATAGTGTTCAACAACTCCCAGTCAAATGCAAACTAATAACTGGTAAACATTTTAGCTTCAAAGCGAAACTCGGAAAATGAAAAAATCAAGACTTTTTTATGCTCTTTTTTTCTCTAATGTGTTAGCATGTAATTCATTTAAATATCAATGATAACAATTTTCAATCAATAATTAGTCAACTTTTTGCTTTGATGTTTACTGAGTTTTCAAGACGAGTTTCTTTGCTCATTCAAGATTGATTTGAATAATTTTGAAAAAATTTTCATGTTTTGAGTTTTTTGCAGGTTTAGTCAGGCATTGTAATTGTTGTTTCAAGATGAACAATTGATGTTTAAAAATGTCAAATATTGGAACCTTGTAAGAGTCTCAATAGTTACTTGATGAACCCTTCTCTGTTTCAATTAATCAAACCATGTGAACCATGTAATGTTTGTTTGATGAAATAATCTCATCAAAATCTCATTGATGTACATGACTTGAAAGGTAACAAAAAATGGTAAACTTTTGCATTATGAAAATTGTCTTAAACTGATTAAATGAGGGAAAAAATGTTTGTCTCGACAGTTTCATCATGAAGACATTTACCATGTCAGAGGGAAGGAGAACAATTTTTGCTTCAAAATTCCAAATTCTCGAATTCGAATCTTCTTTCCTTGCCGAAATTAAACTTGAGAATTCAAGTTTTAAAAGTTCGACAAATTTAACGCTTGATGATCGTTCATCAGTTGAAACTTGCCATTCAATTTAGCATTTCGTTTGACAAATTCATTTGACGATGATACAGAAAAAGTTTTTGTTCTCATGATTGAATCGCCGGAGTACTCAATAAGTCAGCTCAATAAGTACTCACTCAGTGCCTGAAAAGTATAACTTGTGATCAACTTTTGAATTTTGATAAAATTTTTTGGAAAAAATCGAAATTAAAATTTTCTTAATTGCTTTCATTAGTCGATTATTGTGAATGAGGTCGAGGATCAAGAGGCTTTTACCTTTCTTGGAAGCATGAAAACTGTCGTCTTTGGAAACATATTGAATATCATAGATTAAAGTTGTATTGAATAGAAGGTTACGATCTTTATTAACACGATAAACACCGTATTTAAAGGCCAACTCGGTGAGACCATTTTTCTCATCTTCCGTGAAAAGAGCTCCTGAAAAATATAAAGAAAAATGATTAGATGGAAAATGATGGGAAGATAATGATGAAAATGATGAGGTGAAGGGATGAATCCATGAATAGAGATAAAAGGAGGAAAATTAACCTCAACAATAACAAAGCAAAATAAATTAAGTTGGTGCTGATGATAGGTCAGATTAATGAAATCACAAGAGGAAAGGGAGGAGGAAAGGAATCAGATGAGACTGTTGTTGATGATATCGATGATGGATGAAACAAAAGGTAGACAAAGAGTGATTATACTGTTTCTGCGATTCCATTGTTGATAATGATGTTGATGATAAGTGATATAATGATGCCGATCAATCTACTTAACAAAGTTTATCAAAATTTTTAAACTCCATTCTTCATCTTTTACCTTCCCTGATCAAGTTTACAGAAGAAAAAGCAAAATTTCTCTTTTCATCATTTGGTTAGAAAAAACATTTCCATCAAAAGGTAAAGGTAAAATTATCATGAATCATCAGTTTCATTTACGCTTCTTTTGCTTTTCCCAGTTTTCACACTTAAATGCAAATTAAATGTGATTGGTAAAAGTTTTTGTTTTCTTTGCCTTAGTTTACTCCATTCATTGCTCAGTGTTTATACTTGGAATGTTGATAAACAGGGAAGAAACGAAAAATTATATATTCTGTGTTTAATAAAAAGTAAACATTTTAAATGAGATTTATATATTTATTAGCACAACCAAACATTGAATTTGGTGAAAAGGCAAATCAATTGTACAAAGTAAACCCAATTTCAATTGCAACCATTTGTTTACTTTCAATTGGATAATTGAATGATAATTGAAACCGATTTGGTTGCACTCAAAAGGCTCAACCTTTTGAATGCCAATGCCAATGCAAATCCTTAAACAGCATTGAATATTTACATGCAAACTGCAAGCTTCTTACATCGTAAATGATTCAAATGATTTTGTCCAAATTTTGGATAATCTTTCAAAAACTTTTCGTTTGTTTAACCTCGAACTGACATTTAAAGGTCGTTTTCCTGAAGCTGCAACTTTTCACAACGTGTAATGAAGAGAACGCATTTTGCTTGAGCGCTTTCAATGGCTTTTAATCACTTCTGATTTTGTGAATTGTGAATAGAAATTCCAAAGTAAAGTTGTGATTGAGACTTTTTGTTAATTCGATGTTTACATCGATGTTGAGTAAATCATGGAAATTATTGATTATAAAATCAAATTGAATTATTCATCATTTATTGAATTTTTGCAACTTTTTATGTTTTTCCTGAATGTATTCAAAGTATTACATTTATTGGAGCACGCAAATTGTCATCATAAATATCATGAAATAAGATCATTAATGTTCTCATTGTTTTATTGATTAGATCAAAGTGTTGTTTCATTCCCATCTTGGCCATCATGTTTCCCTTAATATGCACTTTTCCTCTCAACTTTACCAATCAACTTTTCAAAATCGACCTTTCAATATTTAATGTTGAATATTTTGCTTGATGAAATGAAACAAAGAGAGAATCAGTTTATTCTTTAACCTTTCAAATGGCTTGATCTTCGTTTGAAACGTGATGCAAGGAATAATGATGAATGTCAGAAACTAAAGAGTTGTAAAGATATCAATTGAAATTCAATGAATTTTTGTTCATTTTGTTCATCTTAAGACTTAAGTTTTACCTTTTCAAATCGCGAAAAGCAGTAAAAAGTGAATGCATAATTAAAATGTAATAACTCAATATCAATAAAATATCACTTACAAGTGAAATTGGTTATAAAATGGATTAAATTTGTTGAAAATTGACAGAAGGGAATGTCAATGGTTCATGATAAACTAACTGAAAGTTACAATTTGAATAGTTTCTTCATTTGTTTCACCACCAAATGAGAATAAATGTGAATTCAGAATTTCAACTTTCATCTTTTCTTTCACCGATAACTCAACATTAGAAATGTTAAAGATTGTTAACAATGAATTTAGTCTAATTTGTAATCGGTGAAAGATTACAGGGAGAAATAGATTCAAGAATGAAAAGTTGAACTTGAGTGTCGAGGCAATCACGTTGATCATAAATATAATATAATGTATAAAAAAAGATCCCAAAAGAGTTATCAGAGTTTCACGAGGAAAGAATGGATGGTGTAACTGGGAGAAACAATGATGATAATAATTGGTGTATTTTGTTGAAAAACTTGAGACTTGGATAATGTTTATCGAGTTAACATTGATCTGTTTAAGTTGAAAGATCAATAGATTAATGATTGTGAAGGAAACATGAATTATCTTGACATTATGATATGTCTTGTAATATATTGCCATTATTTTGCACTTTTCCTACTTTCAATGTTGAAATTATTTTCTACCCTCTCAAGATGATAAAAAGATGAGAAGGGAAAAGGGATAAACTTTATTCTCGACTCCAACTTTGTTCTCTTTTCCATCCTTTATAATAATTTACAATTATTATCATCATTTTCATGGAGAACAAGTTTGGACAGTTGAAACAAAGTCGAATCAATGTCAACACAGCAATTTGTTTTGTTAATTATCAATCAAGCTCATATCTAAATACATTTCAGTTCAATAGTGAATATGATTTGTACGTGTAAAGGCTATGTCATGAACTTTTTTCGTGCAAATATTCAGATTCTCATTGTTACTATCGTAGAGGTCAAATAACTGAATGACCTTGCATGACCTTGAACGTTCTTGAAACTCTAGATTTATCGTTCTCCAATTATGAAATTCCTTCTGATCACATATCATCAAGATCTGACTTCTGGTTCAATAGTAGTAAGCACAAGCGAACGTCAATGATAAAAAAACTCCAGTATTTCATGGGTTGACCAATAAAGCAAATTTGATGATTGAATGTGCTACCAAATTTATCGCTAATTCATTTGAAATCTTGAAGGTGTAACAGACGGAGCAATGAAAGGAGTTTAATTTAGTTTCTTGAATCACTTTCAATATATCTTTGAATAACTTTAAATATTATTTTTCAATTTTTTTGAAAATTGACATTTCTCTTGTAAGCATAGGACTCTTTTCATACAAACGATTTGCAACATTGGAAAGGTTAAGTCATTAAAGTTTTTCTACCTTTTCTGTGATAGATTCTGAGTCAATTTGTTTATCAACACAAAAATTAAAATTTTATCCTGCAATTTCAAAGGATAATATTGAATCTTCCAATATGATTTTAGACAATTTTCACCAATGAATTGAATGTTACATAAAACGATGAAAGAGACAAATTTTGGTTGCAAGAGCACTTGGATTGAATTGATTGTAATGATCAAAGAGTTGATGTAATTCATCTTTATTAACTTTACGCTTGACATTAAAAGGCCATTTGATTACATTACTTGATCTTGAATTCAATTTAATCAAGTGTAAATCATTTCGAACGCTAAAAGCAACAAAAAAACAGAAGAAACTCTGAAAAAAACAAAAAAACTGGTAAAAACAGAGGAGCAATGAACATGATAAAAGAAGAAGAAAAAAGCGAAAAAAAGTCAAATAACAGGTTCCTTACATATAGTCGATTGACACACAAAATTAATACTTACGATTATTTACTGAACTTTCATTTTTTTTTGCTTCTATTTTTTACCTTGTGATCACAAGAGTTGTTCATTGAGCAACAAAATAAATAAATAATCATTTTGTACAAGAATCCGGACAAATACAGAGAACTGAACAAATGAAAGATTGGGTGAAACAAGGCAATGAAACTAACTGATGAAATTGTCCAAATAAAAGTGAATTAAAACAAAATTTGTTCATCTCTTGATTATGATGTAAAGAAAGGAGAAAAAACAAAGTAAAAGGTAAACAAAGAGTTGCTGACTTTTAGCAACAACGAAAGCTTTGGTTCGTTAATTTTACCTCAACTTGTTTCTTTACATCATTATTATGACAATAACCTTTAATAACAATCTTCAACATGGCCAACTGAAAAGTCGATTCTGAAGAAAAGAGATATTTTCAACTTTTTTTTTCTTTTCCATTTTTACCTCTTCTTTTCATGGATTACAAACGTAATCATGAAAGGTTCATCAGCAATCATTATAATACCTTGGAAAACAATGGCGAGCAAAGAAAAGAAAAGCTTTTCAAAACTGTTTTAGGTTTCGCTTTGTTTTCCTGTTCGCACAAACGTTAACCAGTCTTTCGTTATTAATATAATGTTATTACATGAAAATGTACATTTGTTACAATATTTTTTTTGCTCCATTCATTATTTATCATTGCATGGTTATTCAAGCCAATTTAATTAAATTGCCTTTACTCGACTTAATATCGAATCAATATGGATTTTGGCTTTTCTTTACCATTACAAAAACTCAACAAAGAAATAAATATTATCGTTGCTAACATGATTACCTTTTCACCATCAACCATGGAATAACAATTGTCTTGCTCTTCCTCATTCCATCAACAAACATTCTTGTCAATTAGTTAACGAGCTGTTCAATGAATATTTAATTTGAACCATTCAAGGCGTAAAACTGTAATGCCATTTGAATGTTTTTTTCACGAAAAATCGCTTTTTCTCCGTAAATTGAAAAAATTTTTCAGCTTTTGCAGTCGCTTGTTGGATTTGATGGCCAATGTTAATTAAGAAAATTACTTTTTCATAACTTTTCCATCAACTCTAAATGGGTTTGCAAAATGGGAAAAAAATGTTCAAATGGACATTTTAAACTTTTGTTTTAGTTGCTTTTGAGTGAGTTAAGGAATTGGGTTAAAAGTGAATAAAAATGATAAATGTTTGGTGAAAATGAATTAATGGAAAACAAAGAAACTTGAAATTGACTGGGTTTGACTTAATGATAATTGCTATCAATTTTAAAGGGTAAAAATGTTGACTACTGGGAGGAGATATTTTTCATGCTTGTATGGATTTTCAAGGATATTAAAAGTATTAAAAATTTAAATCAGAGGGAGAAGAATTTGAAAAGAGTAAAAAGTTGAATTCTCAAGTCATGGTAATCTAGAGTTTTAT